CAGTGGGTTGGAGAAGGAGAGAGCCCACAGGATGTCCCCAAACCCGACCTTCATCCGAAAAAAGTTATGCTCTCTGTGTGGTGGGGAGTGGACGGCCCCATCTACTGGGAACTTCTGCCCGAGGGCAAAACAATAACTGGAGACCTCTACACTACTCAACTACGAAACCTCAAGAAAGCAGTCGACCGTTCGGCCCTGAAAGACAAGAAAGTGTACTATCAACATGATAACGCTCGCCCACATGTTTCGAAACAAGTGAAGCAGGAGCTGATGGGATATGGATGGAATGTTCTCCCTCACCCCCCGTATTCTCCTGATCTTGCTCCTTCCGACTATTGGTTATTTGGCGATATGACACGTGCCTTCGAAGGAAGAAGCTTCAATTCCCGTGGAGCGGTCGAAGCGGCACTCAAACAATACTTTGCCTCACGCCCGGCTAAATTCTACCGCAATGGAATCCATAAATTGAGGGAACGTTGGAGACATGTTGTTGATAATGATGGACAATATAATTAATTATTCGGTTATTTTTTCTTTGAGGAATAAACTATTGAAAAAGTGACAAAGACTTTCCCGCCAACCTAATACAAACAAAGTTCCTTTTTCGAATATTTTAAAAAATCGTTGTTTCAATGAATTGATATTATGTCATCTAAATCTATTATATTGATTTTGCATACCGGTTTAGGGTTTTTCAATTTTTCTGAAATTTTCAGAGTGTACTAAACAGAAATAGAGCTTCATTTTTGTAATAAACCATTTTTTCACCGAGTTCCATTCTGATGAGATATGCTATTTGAAAACCCAAAAAAATACCAAAATAGCACTGAAAGGAGACTTGGGCTCCTTTAAAACCGCATATCTCGCTTGGTTGGATTTATACAAAAAAAGTTGTCAAATACAAAAATGAAGCTCTATCTTTGTTTATTATACTCTGAAATTTTCCGACAAATCGAAAATTTGTGGACCACTTTTGTAGGACTTCAAAAATGACTATTTTTTACTGGAAAAATTATGACTTTTTTCGGTTTCAAAAACATTTCCTATTTTCTAGCAAACTAAATTGCCTGCTTTGACAATAACTACATTTCCCAATAGGGTACAACTTGAAACACAAATCAATTTTTTTAATAGAGCGCATGTACAATTCGAGCTATTCTTTTTTCGCAGTTTCAATACTTTCTCAAAGGATATGTATTCGTTTCTTGAGGAATTCTACCATTCCCCAATGTTCTACAAACGTAGTTTATAATTTTTCGATTTTTCTGAAATGTTCAGAGTACACTAAACATAACTAGAGCTTTAATTTTGTAATTGACAACTTTTTTGTCAAATTCTTTTCTGATGATATACCGTAAAACCTCTAATAGGAACGGTTCGTCATTTATACGAAAAACTAAAGTTTATAAACGTTTTACAGGTTCTGTTTTATCATATTTCTTTTTCAAAAAGTAAGATTTTGCTTATTTTTTTTTGATTTCAACATTTCAGGTATGTAATGATATCATTTGTGTGATTATTCATAGAGTGCAAAAAGCAAGGGGGCTAAAAAAC